TGGCAGTGGTTGGCACTGGGCCAGGACCAGGGCTGAGGCATGTGGTAGGGCTGGTGCAGCCAGCTCCCCCCAAGTTGGTTTCATTCTGCAGCTGGGAGTGGAGTCTATCCACAGCCCAAATCTGTCCACAGCTGCCCTGCCTTGAAGCAGCAGTTTCCCTGGAAGCAGGCTGCCCCCCACCCTATAGCAGCTGCCTCCGGCTCTTGCTGGGCTGTGTGTGGATCAGGTGCATGCTGCAGGGTGCTGTTGGCACTGTGGGGGAAATGGGTGGGTGGGAGCCCATATTGGGATGCCAGGGTTGGGGTCAGCATAGTGTGAGGTGTGGTCAGGGGTATCAGGTTGTGGAAGTAACTAAGGGACCCCTGACATGGAGCAGCATGGTATAAAACCATTGCCCACTGCTAGTTAAATAATACTCTATTCAATCACTTATCACTCATATTAGTATTATTATGTATAAAATGGCAAATTAGAAAAAAAGCAAGTGATAATCTTAAAGCATAGATGAACCCATGGATGAGAAAGAAAATCGGGCAGAATGTGTACATTTCAGTCTGCTTAGACTAAAGATCAGGAATTCAAAGAATGCATTTGTGAAGACAAGGAAAGCAAGCATAATGCTAAACACAGCTGGAGTAAGATGTTTATTGTAGCACATGGCAGTACATGAGACCAATAAGTAGCACAAAACATGTCAGCATATTATCAATGATGAACACGCCATTTTAGTTGAGTGTTACTTCCAACTGGGGAACTTTGTTCACATTAGAACACCCAGTTAAAATTTATTTTCCCAGGTTTCTGGATGTGGGCTAGAGCCAGATTTATAAAACAGTAAATTGTAAAGCATATGGTAGGAAAAACATACGTCAGCAAAAAAGTTTGGTAGTCAGTAAAAAGCTTTCAGATTGTTACTAAAACATTATTTTCTTGGGTTGGCAACCATACCCTGAATCTGGCCACTAAAGACTCTTACTTTCCTGCAACTAATTTTAAAGATAGAAAAAAAGTCAAGGGAAAAAGCCAAAAGTTTCAAAGATAATCACATAGGAAAATGTTCCTAGGCTTTAATCTTGTGATGTAAAAATCCTTAACTTCTCCTTATTCCAATGGGAGTTAAAGTGAACAACACTTGCTGAACTGGGCTTTTAATAAAGAAATGAGCACTTATCTGTCAACAGACTAAGACTACTAAGAGACAGGTAACTAAGTAGGCCACAGTATTTCTACATTAGCTATTCACCTGTGAAATTCTAGGTTCCAGTGTAAAAAAATGAATTTAACACCTTCTCTTCACCAAGGGACGTCAGTCAGATGGACATACACAAACATCCATCTATATCAGGGGTCAGCAACATTTTTGGACAGAGTGCCAAAACACCCACAAACTTAACTTGTAAGATGTTGGTGTGCTAGGGGCAGATGGCAAGGAAACTTCAAGGGGCCCAATCTTTGTGGCAGCGCAGCCCCAGCCACTTCCCGAGGCGCACACACCACGCAAAATGCCTTCACATGCCACATATGCTGGGCGTTGCCTACTCCTGATATATATCATAAGCGTTAAATACAGATCCCAGTAAGACTTCTATACAAATAATACAATATGCATAAATATGCAAAACTGTAACTTCACAACATGGTGCCAGGAAATCTGGCAGCTCAGTGCTCCTGTGTGGCATGGTGCCATGGGGGAGCTTCTGGATGCTCAAAGGTGATTTTAGGGCTCTGCGCCACTTGGGGTAGGGGTACGTGCCTCAGTCATGCAGTGCAGCAGTGTGGGGAAGTGCCTACCTGTGCACATATTCTTTGCCAAGGGATAGGGAAGTACCATGTGCCATGGGGTGGGGAAGCACCCACCCAAGTGTAGGGGATCACCTGCTCTTGGTATGTGAGAGAGCAGTGCAGCAGGATGGGAGTGCACCCACATCTGCACATGTGATACAGCCTCGAGGGGACCCATGGCCCTCACTAATGCAGCTCCTATGGTGTGCAGCCCCTCGCTGAGTCGAAGTTGGACAGCCCTGTGCTATTACACACCCAGACACAGACTACAAGGTAAGATCAGAATGACACTGGAAGCTTTGAATTTCCCCCTGCTCATTATTCTGCACAGAATTCATAAGGTTAAACAATGTGCCAGTAACATATACTATAAGTGCATAATATAGTATACTTATACAGCATGACAGTAATTACATTTGGCTTCACTGTTAATGCATAGAAACTTATGCGATATATTGTAGGCTATATGATATGATATACTTTAGAAAGTTAAGAACGTACACACAACAGTTTTGAGAAGCCCTCTCGTTTGCATGTGGTGACAACACTTGAGCTGACTTATTCTGACTGGCACTTAACCTCTAGTCAAGAATATGAGCAAGTGGTCTCTTCTAAAGCTGATACCAGTGTTGTTCTACAGAGCGGTACAGAAAGGAGTGCAACAAGTCACTTCTGCTATACAATCAATACTGGAGGGCTTAGACAGGATTTCTGCCTATTCTTCTAGAGACTCTGGTTGTCACCAGCAACTCCAGAATTGTAATAAGTGGATGTAATATGTTTATTTTTGTTAACAACAACCAAATGTACCAAATGATCAACACCCTCCAGAAACACAGACAGTTTTATACTTAGCCAAACAAGCAAGAAGTAAAAATGTAAAGGAGTCAATTATACTCACTTTTTTATGACTCTTAAGGACTGAAGGAGTCACAAAGGCTTTGTCACACAGATCACATTTATATTTCTTATGTCCATCATGTACAACTTGTATGTGAACATTTAAGGTGTCTTTTCTTTTGAAGGTAGCATCACAGTGATCACACTTGAAGGTTCTCTCACCTTATAAATAGGAAAAAGCAAACTGTTAAGCTATTTTCAGAAATCACATTAACTCTCTCATCATCTGGGAAAGAGAACAGGGCCCAAAAATTTGCTGCGTGAAGCAATTACACAGCCAGGTCCAATATTGTGTGTTGCCGGCTTCTGATCCTCACACAAAAAGAAGGTACACCAGGTATGCCAAAGCATGGTCTCTCCTCTCCCCTGGCAAAATATAACACTCAATTTGCGCAAAATAATCTACTGGAAAATGAATCCATCTCAGTTTTCATTATGTATTCTTGTTCCAATTCAAATGCCAATGAATGGAAAGATTCCCACTAATTCCAAATGGGCTATGCAACAAATCCTATCTGGTAGCACATGCTGAAACACTCATTATGGAGACTATTTAAAGACAAAGATGTAAAATGACTTTGATATTATTTGTCAAATGCATTCTCTTCATCGCAAAACAGACTTTACTTCCTGTACAAGTAGATCTTAAAACTATTTTACTCAGCTAACACAGGGGGAGCCAGTAAAGATCAGGACTATTTTTACTGGCCTGTGCTACATGTAGGCAGTCTTACGCTTCTAGGACCTCAACTTTTTCCCCCAATAATATAATTAATAAGTTGTAAAATCATTCACTTTGATAAGCAAAAATAAAAGCAGTTTTATCCGAGAAAAACACAAGTATTAGAGTACAGAATACTGTATCCCCTAAAATACTTAGCCCCCATCACTTAGATTCATAGTCACCAGGCATGCATTGTAACATGCCTTCTGGTAGAGATTTTAAATCGATACTGCACCAAAGTATTTACATGAAATTCTAGAAAACAGGAAATTCTTGTTTTCTATTCTGATACCAGTTTTCTTCAACAGCTTCATGTAAATTCATTAATGTTAACATACTTTGTTATATCTTATTACTCCAGTAAAGGAAGAAACTTTTTAAAAAATGCTTTCCTACAAGATCTTCTACACCTCTTGAAATAGAAAACAGTATTTTTTTAAAAAAAATAACAATCACCAGTGGTGTCTTTTTCCCCTTTTCTTACAAGAGGCGGATAGCAACTTGGATCTAAATTTGGAGAAAAATTAAAACAAAAGAAAACGTAGCAATCCCAGACATAATTCTAATAAGTAATTTTATAGTTATGGAAGCCAGATATATTTCTGTAATTTCCCTAACTTTATTCATTGTCCTTTTTGGATTAAGACAAGATCTGCCATGTGTTGTGTTTCAATTTTTGGTTAGTGTCAGGGAGGGTGGGAGGAAGTATCTTCTTTGTCATTTTATCTGCAATTCTGACTTTCATCAGGAAATGGCAAAGATCCATATTTTCACACACAGTAAAATCAAGGCAAGTAACCCAACCTAAATTATTCATATACCTTATTTCATTAACTAGTTAACCATCTGGCTCTGTCAATAATATCATATTTGTGTTTAGCATGCTATTTAAAATATATTCAGTATATTTTGTTCAAAGTGCTTGTTTAAACAAAATCATTCCAGTCAGTCAGTTTTCTAAAATGACTCCATACATTGGCAGACTATATGTACCTACATAAAATTAAACATCATGGGAAAAAAGGGAGTAATAATAGAACAATAATGTTGAAAAGTAAAGCAAGTGCTGTAAACAGTGCTGCTTGTACATTGTTTCACTCGGTCCCACTGTGTACAGAAATTATAACGCAGTCTTTAATCACATTTAATTCTTCTAAAAGACCCATGGTTATCCAGGGATTCTGTAAAATACTAAATACTAACCAATCTAGCAAAGCACTTAATTACACTGAAGTTAATGGGCATGCTCAGATGCTTACAGTTAAGGACAGTTTGCATGCTATGCCAAATTAGGCCTAGAATGCACAAGACAGGCAGCAGTCAGTGAATGAAGTTATTCAGTATGCCACCGCCTTAGCCTACTTACTCAACAAGCGGCTCCATACCTCATTAACTCCATACATCATCCAAATGCTGTAATTTAATCTTTCCTAACTTTATAAGCTTTTTCTGTTTTATTAGTTAGTTTACCATCATAACACTCTTGTGTTTTTCTTGCTTGAAGAAGAAAAACACAAGAAACACAAACTGGTAGAAAACAGGGCTGAACGGGACATTATTATGTCATCTTGTCTACCTCCTCATTCTTGAAAGCGGCTCAGGTACACTAGATCAGCTGTGACAGAGGTTTGCCTAACTTGTTCTCCCGTATTCTCCACAAGTCCTCAAAAATAATTGTTAACAGCACCCTAAGTATTCTGGAATAAAATTTATCACAGTCAGTCAATTTGAAAACAACTAACTCTATTACAGACAGGCTAGCAGAAGACAGTATTCTCAAACAGGGGTTGTCAACCAGGGGTATGCGGCAGTGGCATGGAGAAGTGGGAGCACTTCTGGTTTTGCTGCTGGCACTTCTGGTTTCACTGCTGCATGCAGAGAACCCACCCCCTTTCCGTCTATCAGCCACCAGGGGGTCCCCCCCACCCAACCAGCCACCAGAGGATGAGCCCCCTGCTCCCTGCTTGATCGGATTGGTGGGCCCCCCCAACTTGTTGATCAGCAGGGGGAACTCCCTGCTTCTTGACCAGCTGCCGGGGGTATACCAAACAAAAAAGGTTGAAAACCCCTGTTCTAAAGGATAGAATTGAATTCTAAAGGATAGCCAACATGACTTTGTTATAGGTAGGTCATGCCAGACCAACCTCATTTCCTTCTACGATCAGGTAATTTGCCACCTAGATAGAGGAAATGAGGTTGATGTCATACAACTGCACTTCAAAAAGACTTTGACCTGGTCTCCATGAAGTCCTCATGAAAAAATTGGGAAAATGTGGCCTCGATTACTTTATGGCTTGGTGGCTAGGTAACTGGATCCATAGTAGGATCCAGAGAGTACTGATTGATGAAACTGAGTCATCAAGGTGGAGGGTGACCAGTGGCATCCCTCAGGACTCAGACCAGTGCTTTTCAACATATTCATCAATGATTTGCATTTGGGTATTAAAAGTGAACTAGCAATGACACCAAACTATGGGGCAGTGTGGTCACTCTCAAAGACAGGCTGGCAATACAGGCCAGACTGGACAGGTTCGCAAGGTGGGTGGACCTCAACCTGATGTTATTTAATATGGAGAAATGTAAAGTGCTCCATCTGTGGAGAAATAATCCACAACACACTTACAGGCTCACCAGTACTATACTTGCTAGCACCACATCTGAACAAGACCTGGGTGTCATGATAGACCACAAAGTGAACATGAGCCACAAAAACGATGCTGTAGCTAGCAGAGCTAATCAAACAGTGGCATCCATCTACCAAGGCATCTTGAGCAAGGCTAAGGATGTCAATCACCCTCTCTACTCAGCCTTGGTGAGACCCCAGCTGGAGTACTGCTTCCAGTTCTAGGCTCTGCACTTCAAGAAGGATGTGAAGAAGCTCAAGAGAGTCCAAAGGAGGGCCATCAGCATGATCAGAGGCCTAGAGACCAGGTCATTGGGGAGAGGCTGAAAAACTTGGGACTTTCAGCCTGAAGAAAAGATTCAGAGGGGACTTGGTGGCAGCCTATACCTATATCAAGGGTGCATCAGGGCCTGGGGGAGCATCCATTCACCAAGGTCCCCCAGGGGAGGACAAGAAACAATGGGCACAAGCTGATTGAAGATCACTTCAGGTTAGACATAAGGACAAACTTCTTTACAAGTCAAGTACCGAGGGTTTGGAACAGGTTCTCCCCAGTACAGTCATCCAGCCTGGGGATCTTCAAAAAGCTTACTGGGGTCATCTGATCCCAGCAGTCTTTCCTGCCCAAGTGTAGAGGGACTGGACCCAATGATCTATAAGGTCCCTTCCAGCCCCTAACAGCTATGAAACTATGAAACTCATCTAAACAGTTTCTAACTAATTATTTCCCTATTTTAGTCTGAGTTCTTACATGATGCCAATTCTATTAGTCACATGATCACATATGAGCACAGTAAAATTTTTCAGTGAAGACTAAACCAAAAACAGACATTAAAATGCCTCAGCCTTCTTGGCATCTTCAGGTATTAGCTTTCCCTACCCAGTAAGCAGTGGACCAAATATTCCCTTAAACTTCCTCTCACTACTACTGATCTTATAAAATAGTTTATTTTTCTCCTTTGCTTTCTATGGAACACAACCTATCAATTCTCTGGATTGATAGCATTATTCCATCCTTTGAAAGTTCCTTATAAAAAACTATTTATGAAAAAGGTGGTCAAGGTCTTCTTCCTCCTCCCTTCTTTTTTGTTACTTAGGTCTTAAGGCTAAGATGAAGTCTATCTTTAGTCTGACATTCTCTCCAAGAATCATGAAGTCCAGTGTTTTATAACTCTTAATTCTTCTAAAAGACCCATGGTTATAGAAGAGATTCTTTAGAAGACTTGAAAGCAAAAGCCTTACTAGCTTTCAATAGGACCATATCTCCTTCTAAAATACTGCATCATAAAATCCACTATGTATATTAACCTCATATGATATCATTATTTAGATAATTACAATCATTTCTCACTACACTAACATAACAACACTTCTGCAGATGACAGGTTCTCTCACTGCCAAAGGCCAAGTTTTCTTCCATTTACTAATATACATTAACCATTTGAAAAAAAGATACAACATACATTTTAGATACAGGTAACAATATTGATAAATAAAATAAAATGATAAGAATATTTCCATTATCCAGTTTCAAGTCAACAAATTTTGGATTAAGAATATAAGGGAATTTCAAAATAACTCTCTCCTCTCCCCCCCCCCCCCCCCCCCCAAGAAAACATAATGCCACGGTCAAAGCTAGAAATAAAATCAAAGTGAATCCATTGATCTCAGTTCTTGGAACAGTATACAGAAAAGAAGAATACCTCTCAAATAATTTGACCTGAATTAATAGTATTACAGTTAATATGTGGAATACCTATAATGGCATCCAGAACAAAAAATGGAATACATGCAATCTTTGGTGCAAAAATAGTTTGCACAGGAATGACATGTTATAAGCACAGCCATGGAAAAGCAACTGGAAGAGAACTCAAGAGGACATTTTAGTTTAGTTAGACAAAATTAGACAAGATCCCTGTCTAAATTAAATTAATCTAATCTAATCCAAATTTCTTTAAAAACCTTCCAATGATGAATCATAAAAAAATACTGACTTCTTAATAAATATATTTTGTCTATATGTGTGTATGTATACGTACATATTCAGAGTCTTATTTGCTTGTTTTAGTGACTGAAGTATTTAGATTTTTTTTTTAATTCTGTTAGTCGCAAAGAGACAAAGCAACTAAAAAGTATGATCAGAATTATATTTTCTTTTGTGTGCACCAAAGTTATTTTGCTCTAACAAAGTACATCAATGAAAAGCCGCCGGAGAAATGGAACTGATACATCAACTGGCATGCAGAGCCTGGTATTACTGACAATGACACATCAGGAAGAAAGAACTCAGCATAACTTTTGGATTACAGATTTAGTTGGCTAAACTGCCAAAAGGAAAAAAAAGCCTAGTTACTTGCTAAGTAAGCATATTTAATAGGTAATCTATAAAAAACACAGAAATCAAACCCCTGATACTTTTTCATAGATCTACAATTCAGAGTAAATCCTCCTTTAAAGTCGTCCACTTTTGAACTAATTTAACATTATTTTATGAAATTTGAGCAGAATATGTATAATATTTTAAAAGTAAGGTGCTCTACAGAATAACAACTCTACATGTAACTTGAGATACTGATTACAGAAAGACTTTATAATGGATGTACACCTCAACTCTGGACTTCCCATGCTTTCCAGAATTCATAGTCAGTGGGGAAGCAGTTTCCCTCAATTTCTGCTCCATGACACAGCACTATAAACATGGTCAAGGACATTAGAAGGCTATTTGTTTTTTTCTTTCTTTCTCGGAAACAGCAGGTAAAGCACAATGTTGAAAGGAGAGCTATCACCCTGATGTGGCATGTGTTGTTTGTGAGTTATTAAATAAACGGTAGACTCATTATCATAGTGATGGAGCCTGTCAATTTCAGGGTGAGATCAGAGTGGGAAGAGTTCTAATGCCCTTTACCTGGAACACAAGCAGCAGAAGCCCCTTGTTTTGGCCAGTCTTGTATTTATTATTTCTTATATGATAGTGATGCTTTTCACTTTGGTATTGGCCTAGCAGCACCTTTGTTATAAAGAATTACACGAAGATGAGGAGGAGGTGTGGGAGCAACTGTAAAACTTTTGGTCTAGGAACAGGTTTTGGATACTTGGAAAAGAAAGGAAAGGAGAACTTTTACAACTATGGGCCAGATCCAATATGCATGAAAATCAGTGGCTTCATTGGATCAGAACTTAATTAGTTTTAAAAACGGGCTCCTCTCCATGTGAGTAAATTGAATGAGATTTTTCAGCACTCCGATTTAGTCATCAGAATTAAAAATGATTCTACAAAATTTAGTTTTCACCAAAACAACAGATCATGGCAACTTAGAAAACCTCATTTAAACTATCCAGTGCCAATCACTTCTCTAATATACTTTACACTAAAGACTGGTGTATCAGGTAAAAAAAAATTAAAGTTTTTTTCCCCAACCACAGTATAATCTTCAAAGCTATGGTGAGTTTAGGGTTCAATCATTTCTAAATTGTTTAAATTTGCTTACTTAAACAATTTAACATGCACAGTTTCTTAATTTATTTAAAATATATATTAAAACATGTAGACTTCTGTAGATAATTGAATACTATTCCCCACACCACGAAACCCAAAACGCTGAAGTATAGCTAATCTATTCATAATAACTAAGATGACTTGCTAGAAATCCATAACAGAATACTTCCTTGGCTCACTGGGGCCTAGACACTCCTTCAGTCTGCTGGCACATGTGTTGCTGATAGACAGATCTGTTTTGTGGCTAATGTTTGGGGCTTTGACTTAGAAGGGAACACTTCAGATGCCTTTCTTGTGTGACCAGAGCAAGTCATTTATTTCTCTCTGCCACAATTACCCACACATAAAATAGGGATATTAGTGCTAGTTAATACAGAAAATACCAAATCTTGCATCTCTCAGAGATAATCAGGTAATATTTGAGAGTTGAGATAATATCCTTTAAGGCTAAGAAAGAGAGAGAAAAGGAACAGACAAGCTTTTAGGCTTTAAAAAGCAATCGGCTTTATTTGTAGACCTGTGGAAGGGCACTTGAACAAATAGGCTAAGTACAGGTAGTCAAAAAGCCCAAGGCTGAATCAATTCAATCTTTGAAGTTTAGTTAAAGCTGCATAGATTGAACAAATAAGCAAGAACAGACATTCACTTTGATTCTGGAAATGCAGCCACAAGCCTTCAGTGGCCCTGGCCAGAAGCTGGGGGGGTGCTATGGCATGCCTCCTTGCTTGGCTGGAGCAGACAGTCTGGGCCAAGGCTAGCCTATCCATCCTATGAGGTGCAGTTTGCAGGGCAGGTCCAAATCATCCTGGGATGCTCAGGGGCTGCAAGTTAACTTGAATTTGGAGGGGATCCAGGACAGAAGTTCAATAAACCAAATTAACCTAAATCAGTTAAGTCTGATACTACATCCATCCAGGTTTATCTTAAACTAGTTTTGGCCATTTTAAAGCCGTTTATATGCACTGAACTTCTGTTGTGTTACAGATTTGAACTGGTTTCCAATAACTCATACTGGTTTATGTGTAATTTTTGTCCCTAGCCCAAAAGCTTGCCTCCTATATCTCCAAATTATATAAAAGTTGGTCCCACCAGCCACACCACCACAACTACTGGAAAACCTGCGGCGTACATACAATATCCTCTGTGGTATTAAAGCAGGACCAGTCTATTGGCAAACTTTTGGACTTAGGCCTAAATTTCCTAATTCTCATAGATTGAAAAATGAAACTTAGAATTACTGCAACATAGTTTAGTTCAAGCAAGAACCTAAGAGGAAGAAAGAGAAAGAAAATTCACTTCAAATTTGCATTGCTCAGCACTGCATTACCTCTCAAGTTACAAGTCAGAGATGTAAACTGACATCTGACTTGTTACCCCTCTGAATTAGTACTTACTGTTGTGTATTAGTAGGTGTCTCTGCAGAGAGAATGGAGTTCGAAACAAAGCTTTGCACTCTTCACACTGGAATGGTCTCTCTTCAGAGTGGGTCTGCAGATGTGTCACAGGGAAGAATAAAGGAAATTAATTAGGGATGAGTTCAGAGAGAATAGCAATAGCAATTCAGCATACCAAGTGATGAGACTTAAAAAAATCCTGCATTTATGTGAAACCTCACAAACTAACCCAGCTGCTATTAAATAAATGTACAAAACAGGTACTCGGACTTGTTATATGGGGGAGGGGTACATGTGCAAGGAGAATAATCATATTTTGAAGGAAAACTACAAACTAAGCTTCATCACATTTCACCAAATCCTGAAATTTAAGGATCTCAAATTAAGTGCATGCATAAAAAAGCATTTTTAAAGCTAATTCCAGGTCATTTTTAGCAAACCAATGATCTGCTAATTCCCAAGACACTAATTTAAAATATGGCAAATAAAATCTCTCAAATCTAGAATCTATTCCCCACCCTTTTGTTTCAGCCTTGTTTGCTAATCTGAAACAGGAGGCAAAATAATTGATATTGAGGATCCTCACTTACATAAGTACATATTAACCAGACCTAAAAAAGCCTTATCAAAGCCATAAGCAAGAGAAAAAGCTAAGCTTGGCTGAATCTTGTAAACAAACTTCACAGCTGTTGAAGTGGATCTCTGGAGCTTGTGAAAGAACCAGCTTTACCCTACTTGTGTAAATTTCAAACCACTTCCCCTCTCCTCTATTTTAATCAAGGACTACCTTATTAGAGCCACTAAATAAATGCATACAATATGTTATCTACCCAATTTCCTATAATTTTCAAAGACAGGGAAGTTTTAAAGAATCAGTATCAGAATACTTTATTTAATTCACAAGGACCTTGATTGAAAGCCATCATGCCCTGAGGGAAAGGGGAGTGACAGGAAGTATTTTATAATATGCAGGGATTGTGGTTAAAAACAAAATTATGGATATTAAAAAGTCAATCTCATAGCCTAACAGCAAGCATTAATATGGTACCCAAGTGCACAGTCTATTTTCTCTTTATGGCAGCAACAAATCCACAATGCAATGGGATAGTCATAGCTCTTCTGCCAAAAGTCAGCAAAATTATTTATAATAGTCACTAGCATTTTTGGGTCACACTTTCATATTGATTTTTAGTGTCCCCTTAATAGATAGTAATACAAAAATGTTAGAGTCTTCATGACTCTAACAGTCATCAATAGTGGGTTACAAAACCTACAGCCAGAGCAATGATTAGAAATGTAAAGGGCATGATGCTTTTTCATTCATAGATATTCATTCTTTTAACCATTCCTGTCCTTATTATTAAAATACAAAAATAAAGCTTTGTCATTTTTTAACTATGCATTTGGATATGCATGGAGATATTTTTAAGAAGGTGTCTTGTGACTGGATGGCTCATAGAAAGTGCTTACTGAAAACAGGGTAAAGAGGTTTCACTTCTATGGCAATAGTTTAAACCCAGCCTAAGTCACATACAGCAGAACGGCCCACTGCAGCACTTCCAAAACAGTTATGTAAAATAAAAAGACTGTCCAGTCTAACTCCTAGCTCTTCACATCACATTAGCATTACTCAACACTCTTATTGGCAATCTCATCAGAGAGGCCAAGGATTGACTGGGCATGAAGAGACTGAACTACCTTCTCACCTCAATAGGTGGTTCCTCCAGAACAGGGTTGAGACATATTGATGAAACACTGTGGGGAAGCTTGCAGTGCTGCTGTCTGTGCTGTACCTGTTCTGTGGATAAATAGAAGGGTTCAGTCTCCAGGTCTGTCAATCTGGCACCTTTCACGAGCGCAATATTCACTCCTTTTATTTCAGAATGCCCTAGTCTGGAATACTTATTAGGTTTATTATCTCTAAACACTAATAGCCCTTTGTCCGCCATGGTCTAAAATACAGAAACCCTAATATATTTCTGTACCTCTCCAGCATGTGATAGATGTGTGTGTACTCCTTCAGATGACACTGTTATCACTACAAGCTCCTCACATTTGTTCTATGGTACGAGATTTCAAATTGCAAAACAAGCTTAATACAAGTACTCGCATGCAATTTTCAAGTGCGGCCAACATGGCTATTAAATGGTGTTACAAAATTAAACCCTATTGTATGATACCAGATCATACACATATGCTGTATAATGGTACACTATGTACAATAAATTGTATATTGTGCACATTAAACTTTTTTTTTAATTTAAAAAAGGCATGATTTATATGCATGCAGCAAAGAAAAGTAATAGAACTGTTCAATCATTGTTAAATATTCCATTCTTTTCCCAGCTTTAGGGCACATAAACCAGTGGGATGCTCCAAATTTGAAAGTAAGAAAAGAGATTACAGCTGCTCTTAAGTATGGAACCATGTAAAACAGGCCTCCATCTGGGTTAATCGTCTCCTTCCCTGGTTCCCCTCCACACACATCTTGAACTACTGTTGAAGCTATATTTAGCTACATTTAGTTGTTTTTTAACTTGAATCAGCCTGAAATATTAAGTGACTCCCTAACACTATCAACATGAGCAGGTTCATTGACTTCAGAGGGCCTGCACTCATGCTTAATGCTAGGTTACTGAACCAAAGCCTTAGATGGGGTTTGCTCTCCTTCCCCATAATTAATGCTTCTTCATATAAAGTCAGTCCTAGGCTGCTTCTTGAAATGTGTTAAACACATTTGATCCAGGAAAGCACAGAAAAGATACATTAAAAATTGGGAAAGTCTACAAGCACTTTTCTGTTACTGCAGCTCCAGCAATTGAGGATGGCATGATAACGGATATTTTTATTGCTGTGTCCTCTACAGCAGATTTGAATTACATCATTTGTGCCTCATATATACTGTAACTTGCATTGTTGGAAGCACAAAAAGGGCTGAACTGTAAAATATTAAAAATAAAGAGACCAATTTCCAACTGCCTAAGGGTTCACTGTGAAGAATACAAAACCAATTATCAATATTATACATTAAAACGCACATGGCTAGTTATTTCTCTAAAATATAATTATCTTCATATTATCTCTGATGATTGAAAGTAATTTTCCCTCACAGAAATCAATAAACTTTATATTAGGCACCCACTAATTAGTTTTCCAATGTTCTGAATGGTACAGAAATAAACAAACTATAGACTACATCAACCCAGAACCTTTTCTGGCACAAGAGACCTTGTACTGGAAACCCTAAATAAAGTGATTTTGTCACCCCACAAGGTACCTAACAACTCTGACCATGTCAGGGGATTGCAGCTGGCCGATATAGTTGCAAAAAGTATTTCATTTGATGGCTGATATAACCAAAGAAACTGGGACTGCTCCAAAATAGCCTTCTCTCAGCCTTTACTAGGATGGCTCTGGTGGATTCAGTGCCAATTTAAAGCTGCCCATCCCAAAGGAACTCCTGAAGAAGTGTAGTCATTACAACCGCGCGTTTTCCATGAATGAAGATCATTTGATTAGCTCTAAGACAGATGTTCTCAACTTTTTTAGACTCAAGGCACCCCTCATAAACTGTCAGCTCCTAGGCTTCATTTGTTTTTTGACTACTGAAAAATAATAAAGCAATTCCTCTATTGCAAAGAACTCAAAGACAATAACAGGTCACAATGTTCTCAACATTATGAATTCCTATTTAAAATCTCTGGGTTTATGTTGTGAACCATGGCACCTTGGCTGAGAGTCACTGCTCTAAGCCCTTCTGAATATTTTGTCCACTTATCTGTTACTGTTCATTGTTCTTGTCTCCTCAGACTTTATTCCAGAGCCAATCTAGTACGTGAACAATTGAGGGGGAAAAAAAGGTAAGCCCTTCCTTTGTACTCAGTGTTTAAAAAAATAATATACATCAGTATTTGTCTGCAAAGATGCACTTTCATAAAATCTGACCTACCCTAATGAAAGGTAAAAAGTTTTGTCTGTAGCACTGGTCCAATACTATTCTTATTATTATCTCTATATTCGCTGTCCACCTCTTTTGTGAAAAGACTTTATATTCTATGACTACCTACTTCATTTAAAAGCAATATTTAGTCACCACAGTGAATGAATTGCCTTACTCCCATTACCTTTCCCAGAGAATTGGATATCTAATTCTCTTTGACTCTTTGAAAACGTTAGCCTTAGCCTGCACAAGTATGCAGCATTCCCCAAAACTTGAGAAATGATTAAAAGCAAACAGGCTGTGGAAGCTAAGGGATTTTTTTTGTTCTGACACATAACCAGGATAAGAGTCCTCATATAAAAATATATATCTCCATCTAAATGATGGATGTTAAATTCAAAGAAGGCACAAAATGTATATCCTTATTATAAATAAAAATATGTACTATAATGCTAGCTGGCTGTAAAAGCCAAAGAAGATTTTCAGATTTGAAGGCATCAAATTTGATATCATGTCTTCTGTTAAATATTGCTGATTTAACTGTTTTAACTAAAGCACATATTATTCTTACTACAGATTTACAGCCACATTGCTTCAGTGCAGCAGAGCATTGTCAACTCATTCAAGTCCCAAGATTTACCTCCCCCACAAGAAAAGAAAATACATATAGTATATCTGCATTGGACTACACAACACAGAAGAATTAAAATAAGGGGCACAGAGATTTAAAAGAAAAGGATAAAGCCATAAACATTAACACAAAGCATAAGCTAAATAAGAGATTAGGTGAGACACTATGAAATTTTAAATTTCTGTCTTACTGGGAAGATTTTGTTGTCATCAAAATACTGAACCATTTAATTCATTGGTTCTCAATCTCTTTTGGGTTTGAGACATTGCTCCTGAGACTCAAGGCACCTCTCTGTAACTTCTGTGAATTGAGTGGCGCCTAATTTCAACAATTAACTTATATATTGCAGTGTTTACTTCCTTGCAGATGCCAGGCAGTGGAGATGGAGGACTGGCCAGCCAGAGACAAGCCTGCGACTGTGCTTATCTGCTTATCTCCTCACACCTCATTCATCTCTTCAAAAATCTCATGGCACCCTAGCTGAGAATCAGTGGTTAAGCTCTTACAAGTGTAGTCCTCCTTGAACCACAGTAGTAACAATATTCTAGATCACATATTTAGTGTATGCTGTACACTCTGTTCAATTTTCAAATATGCCACTGAGATTTACCCAGTAAGAAAAGTATGTCACTTAGATTGAAGAGATATGTAAAGGCTCTCTGTCAAATCTGTAACTAAACGTAAAGAAAATATGTATATTTTGTTTCTCTCTACACTTTCTTTATCCCACTGGACAAATACATCTGTATTACTTGCATACATACTCAAGAAGCAATTACTCCCACACATAGCAAGAATATCCATGACAAAAATAAACAGAGTATTTACCAGATAATTAAAGTCTTAGTAATTTTTTTTCAGCAAATAAACTACATATTTTTTGTTAAATAAAAGGTTCAGTTCTGTGAAATTTTTCTCATGCAATTTTTGCTGATATGAATAGTGCCACTGGTGCAAGTAATAGTTGCAAAATTAGGCAAAAAACATCATTCGCTAGTCTTGATTCTGAAGTTCTGACTCCCTATTGGCCATCACATGCAGGTTATCATAACAAAAATACCTAGAACCTAGAAACCTGTTAGGTTAAGATACAGAAGCAATGGCCCAAATTGTATTTCAGGCCCTTTTATAGACCTGCATCCATTCTGCAGGATTCACCCCCACTTTGTAGGGCCCTTTTTTAAATGAAGTTTAATATGTAAGCTATGATCATAATGTATATGAAAATTAGTCTACTCATTCAGCAGGCTTCTGTATGCTTTCTGTTTTAGAACAGTTATCACTGCTTCATCCTGCAAGAGGTATTATTATTACTTTCATATGATTTATGGCTGAAAGTATAAGAGATAGTGCAAAGATCCTGTGCCAAATTCCTGAATGGCATATAACATGAGCCAAACTGTGAAAAACATGTAAGTAAGGGTATATCAATTTCATCAAAGGGAAGGGGAGAAAGAGCAAAGGGTTCCAAAGACTGGGCAGGAAACCAACTAGATAATTTTTTACAGTCTTATAATTCTGAAACAGCAGTCATGGGTGCAGCCCTGCCATTGAAAATGGAACCTAGGGTTAAAAGTAATGACAGGCATTAGAGAAATTAGGCTAGGCAGACTGAGCTTAAATCAACACAAGTAGAGCGTCCCTCCATGGGCACATTCTCAGGGTAATGTTTTTTCTGATGTTGTAGTAATGTGTTATTTAACACGATGAAATGCAAATACGGTATTGTTGGAAAGCACCATGTAATAGGTACAATGATTAAGAATGACTGCAAGAGCAATACTGAGAATATTGTTCAAATGTTGTCTCTTTTTTTTTTTAACCTAAGACTGAGGACATTTTAAATTAGATAAAAATTTGACCCGATAACAAAAATCAAAACAGAAAAATCAAATAAAAGATTTAGTCAATGCTCGTTAGCAAAGGAACAGTGTTTTGGTTTGTGTGTATTTTATTTTTTTTTCCGAAAACTCAGTTATCTTGAGATCTTGGTTATAACAAAAAACACTAGAAAATACATTTGCCAATACTTTAATCTTATGTTTATAAGCATGCCAGAGCTTAATGATCAACCATTTAAAAGGAAAATAGCTGCAAATCTGAGGCTGGCAGACCTGTAAACAACAACAGCAGAGTGCTTTACCTTCTTGTGATTCTTGTAAACATTTCTGTGGGCAAATCCCTTTCCACAAAGCTTGCATTTATAAGGTTTATCTTCACTGTGTATTATTTTGTGTGCAGTCACTTGATCAAGTCGTTTGAAGGACTTATTGCAAACCTCGCAGGTGTAGGGGCGTTTTTCTGCAGAAAATGAGTGGGGGACATTTAATCTCCTGTTTGTACAGGGGGAGAAGATGAAAGGCAAAGACAGTCATCTCCTCAGAGAGATTTTTGCAATTAAGTCAACCCAATTAAGATTAAACCAATTAGAAAGACATCTAATGCCCTTTATGTTAGACAGTTAAGTCACTTCATAAAAGATGAGCCATGGTGCATCTCAAGAAATTGGCACATTCTTTGCAATAATCATTGCTAAAACTAAATTCTGATTAATTAGCTTAAATCAAAAGAGAATGACTTCAAAGAGGAAAAGCCTGTTTCCAGATTACAAATGTGAAAGAGGGCATGACAGTTTAAATGTTTTAAAACTTAATTAACAATATACCTATCATATTAGCTTCCAAAACCTAAAGTCCCTATGAAAAAGCCTTTATGCTTCAACTGGTGACTGCAACTTAACTGCATAAGCCCTGTAGTCTCATTCAAAATGTGTCAAAACTAAGCTACAAGCTGCTGTGATAAAGTTAATGCGTCTTCAGTGTGGGCTGATATCAAGAAAAGAAATAAATTAGAAGTCTCTGCAGTTGTGAAAGCCTGCATTTTTTAAACTTTAATGTATTTGACAGGACAACGTTCATGAAACCATTGAGTCACTTGGCATTTCTGATCACTGGTTTCATTCCCTTTCTGTTCAACATGAAACTTCAGCTACTAATCACCTACTCTCCTCCACAAAACAAGTAGCAATCTAATTTTTCCCCATGGAAATGAACTTTCCCGTCCAAGCTAATATAAAAAGGCAGCTTCAAGAAGTTTCAAGGAGCAGGAGACTGCACTGTTAAATATGGATATTCTACTGGGGTGAAAAGCATTATTTAAATGATTTTACAGGGAGTGGCCGGGTGGGACAAACTTGACTGAAACAGCCTCAAAACACAGTGGTATTCAACAAACCTTTTCTTAGAAAATAATCTAGGTAATACCTCAGGGACCAATTACAACATACTGAAAACAATTAAAGATTTTTACCTGAATGGGTTATCATATGGCGTTTTAGCTGGTTAGCTGATATAAATTTCTTGTCACATTCCTGACATTCAAAGATCTCATGAACCTGCAAAGTGTTTAACGATAATTAAATATGCGTTTCCAACAAGATAGCACCTCTTCAATATACCCAACATCCCTAACAAACTGTAATTATCTCTTAGGCAGTAGGTATGCTAATATTTATTGATAGTTTGTGACTTCTTTAATTACCCCATGCTGAATCACAAAGTTTGAAAAAAAATCAAACACTACTTCTGAACAAAAAATTAACACCAGGGCTACAGACAGAAATGAAGAGTGCATCAATGCATACTATCAGATGAAACTTGAATTCCATCAATGTGGAAACATACAAGAAGTGTAGAATTTGTCAGTGTATTTACCTCTAACAAATGTGAGTACACAGGCACACCTCTCTCTTACGACTTCAAATAATCATCATAACCATTACTGTCACTTTAAAAAATATTCATTCAGGAAAGTTAAGTCAAGTTTAAAAAATGAGGAATTTGAAGTGGGTTAGTTAAAGCACATTAAATGGAAAGTGGAATTGGAGTAAATAGTAAAATTATCTGTACTCCAGTTTACTCCAATTTAAGGAATTGCTATAAAGTTAATTCACATTTTATTTTTATTACATTAAACTGCCAATGATTAGCTGTTATCACAAATGAAAAAAGCTGATCATCTAGATTCACCTTACTGGACATATTAGACTACCAATCCTCCCTCTCCAAAAAAAAAAAGAAAGATATTCTTGCCAGTAATAACAAAATATAGTTAACCAAGACCTACTGCTGTAATTACTTATGTAAGTAGTGTCCACTCACATTAGTTATCCCATCTTAGTTAATGGGGCTCCTTTCCTGAGTAAAACCTACTTCCTTCCAAAGTAATTTCAAATTAGAACACTGAATTTCTCCTGTCATATTTAAAAAGTGACATTATCAAGCCAATTTTCCTGCAAATTTTAAGTTTTCTGAAAATAAAGTTTATATCATTGTAATATTAAGAGATAGATTTCAATTTTTTCTAAATTTAATTAAATAGTAATCTATGATGACTTCTCTCAAAACCGACCATGTTGGTGCTACAGTAAGAGAACTTGAAAGTTCAACCCAAAAGAAACAAAATACATTAAACAGCCACTATTCAGGAAGAGATAAGAATTCCTCAGTTTGACTCCATACTTTTCTTGACTAAATGTGAATCATTTGCTGTAATAAGGTTTAAACCTGGCATATAGTAATGACTAATCAGACAGAATCACCATTTAAATCACTACCAGATTATGCTTTGCATCACATACATTTTAAGAGCAGTGCCGTATTTTGCAGAAATTTTGGTGAGGAAAGAGTAAACTGGAGGTCTTGCTCTAACAGAGACCTTAACATCCAGAGGAAAAGCAGCCCCTTGGCTCAATAAGGAACTAGCGGTCCTCCTGCATCTAAAAAAAACAGATCTACAAAGGACAGAGAATGGGATCCACCTCCAAGGAGAAATATACTGCGCTGGTTCAAACCTGCAGGGAGCAAACCAGGAAAGCCAAGGCTGGAATGGAACTCCAACTGGCTACAAGTATCAAGGACAATAAAAAGTCCTTTTTTACATATGTGGGGAGCTGGAGGAAAAGCAAGGGCAACATTGGATCCCTGCTAAACCAGAAGGGAGAACTGATGACAAATGCCCAGAAAAAAGCCAACTAACTTGGTACTTTGCATTGGTCTTTCACAAGTCCCATGGGACACCCCTGCCCATTACGGGACAGAAATGCCTGAGTGAGGGTGGTTCCTTGCCCTCCATCAATGCTGACCTTGTGAAGAAACACCTTGAGAGGCTGGACACCTTCAAGTCAGCCAGCCCTGACAATTGGCACCCCAGAGTACTCAAGGAGTTGGCCTACATCATAGCTCAGGCCCTGGCACGGATCTTAGAGAGCTCCTGGCGCTCGGGTGAAGTGCCCAATGAATTGAAGAAGGCCAATGTAGTGCCTATCTTCAAGAAAGGGAGGAAAGTGGATCTGGCAAACTATAGGCCCACCAGCCTGACCTCTATCCCAGGGAAGGTCTTAGAAAAGATTATCAAAAAGGCCATTCTTAATGGACTGGCCGATGGCAACACCCTGAGGGATAGCTAGCATGGGTTTGTTGCAGGTAGGTTGTGCTTAACCAGTCTCATTTCCTTTTATCACCAGATGACCCAGAGGACAAGGGGGGAGAGACTGATGTCATATATCTTGACTTTAAAAAAGCCTTCGATCTGGTATCCTATGATCAACTTTTGGCAAAACTGGCCAACTGCGGCCTTGGTTCCACCATGATCCGCTGGCTGGGAAATTGGTGCCGTGGTCAGACCCAAAGGGTGGTGGTTGACAGAAGTCAATCGTCATGGTGTGCTGTAACCAGTGGGGTCCCTCAAGGCTCTGTCCTTGGACCCATATTGTTCAACAACTTCATTAATAATGTGGACATTGGAATCAGAAGCGGACTGGCCAAGTTTGCTCATGATACCAAACTTTGGGGTAAAGCATCCATCCCTGAGGACAGCAGGGTAATCCAGGCTGACCTTGACAGGCTCATGAAATGGGCAGATAAGAACCTGATGGTGTTTAACACCGAAAAATGCAAGGTTCTCCACCCTGGTAGGAAAAATCTGCAGCATGTCTATAGGCTTGGCAGCGCTACGCTGACTAGTACTACAGATGAAAGGCACTTGGGGGTCATAGAATCATAGAAGTAGGGTCGGAAGGGACCTTGTAGATCTTCAAGTCCGACCCCCTGCCTGGGTGGTTGAAAAGATTGGACTCAAATGAGTCCAGTCATGATTGACCGCAAAATGAACATGAGCCTTCAATGTGACACCACAGCTAGTAAAGCAAGCAAAACCCTGGCTTGCATCCACAGATGCTTCTCAAACAAATCCCTGGACATCATTCTCCCATTGTACTCGGCCTCAGTTGGAATACTGCATCCAGTTTTGGGCTCCGCAATTCAAAAAGGATGTGGAGAAGCTT